GAGAGCTTCTGGGTCACTGCAGGAGAAAACAACGTGATTTACAACAGAACAAGGCGAACCATGCAGCCGAACATTTAGCCAAAGAGAAAATACACTATGTCAATAATGACTTACCAAATTACATCTAGAAGGCACCTGCCGTCTTCATCATCCATGACAACTGTTAAGGATGAAATAGCCCAATGAGAATTTGTTCATTAAAAAAATCCTTGTCACAAATCAATAATATGTCAAATGTGTACAAACTAATTTACATTTTTATTTTATTTTGACATGAGTTAGTCACAGATAATGATGATGAATTATAAAACAGCAAAACCTTCATCAAATATCCTCTGCCTCTGATTGGAGTTATGTCATTTTGTTATACATGATTTGGAAATGTTTCATAGACGTACAGTTTTAATGACATTTGAGGGATTCTTCTCCACATTATTGTACTACTTTAGCATAGACTGTTCTTACAGAAAATAAACCTTTCTACTGCTGTGTTGATGCTGCAATACAAAATATGGTAAATAATAAAATAAATAAAACCCCCAAAACTACTGATGATACAGTATGGTCATTTTATGATTTAATTCAGTAGATATCATACATGTTGCTCTTTAAAGAAATGTTTTTTTATTTAAATGTTGTTACTTTTTCTTTACAATTCCCGACACAAATTAAATATAAAGCTTCTGTATCGTAATTCAACTCTTTTTCCAATAATCCCTGTTTACATGATGTAAACTAGTGTAATGACACAAAACATTAGGCTACATTACTTTTGCTGCTTTGAGGTTAAAACAAGCCCAGTGGGATCAATGTCACCACTCATATCAATAATGCTACACACTGTGTGTGTTTTTAATTTTAATAACTCTTTCCACAAGTAGAAGTGTAAATACCTTGTATTATTCTATTATTGTATTTTTTCACCCTTTATTTACCGGATGTAAATATGTTTGATTTTTAACTTCTTGTTATTTGTAATAATTATATTCCTGGTTCCTGTTTTCTAGAGCTGTTGAACACAATAAAGTTCTTTATCTTTATTTATGAATGGACTTCCACAAACAAACACAAACCATATGTTGTGTTTCTTCCATAAAGCAGTCTACAATCGAAAACATGAATCAATTTTGAACCCTTTAACCAAACAACGTTTTGATATAATTATTGCAAACAGAAAAAAAAACAAAAAAAACATAGTGAAGAAGTGTTAAAGAGCTGAAACCTGAGTTGTGTAAGCTGTGTGCACAGAGCAGAAAACAACACACTGAAAACGCGCGGTTTTCACAGCAGACCTGCAGAAATACTTGCAGCTCGTCTTTGACCACAAAGTCTCACGAACTACAAAAACACTTTCACAACACAAAAAAAAAACCCCCATCAAGTCACCCAACATTTTTCCCTCGGATTTTACAAAGGGGTGGGGGGGGGGGAGCATATCCCTACCTGCTGCTCTGTGGAGCCATTGCTCGGTCACAGAAGAACCAGTACGCAGGATATGAATGGAAACCCTGCAAGCGGCTTGCTACATGCTACCTGCTGTTTTCACACACATTTTCTTGCATATTCCGCACGATTTTTTCCTCACAGTGTGCGATATTTAATGGCAACGAGAGACACTTGATGCTCTAATTAAATAAAAACGATTGATCTTCAAACCAGCATCCTGGCATTTTGATGCATCTGGGTTTGCATTTCGGTAGCCTAGCTGGTTAGCCTGCTAAGCCCAAGTAGCTATCAACAATATCCAGACGTACGAGCTAGCTTTAGCCTTTGACATTCAAAACAAACCACAGAGTGACACAGTTTTGACACTCGTACGGCACCGAAGAACCTCAACTCCACCAGGACTGAGTGCTAATGTCTGTTTAGGAGTGCAAACGCAATTGCGCAGCGAGCTATCTGTCCCCACTTGCAGGTAAAATATGAGTTAATGTAGGGACACTGTTGGATCAGGGGGGTATGTTTGGGAATTCGATGGAAAATGACTATTATTGCCGGGTCGTGCGGCAGTGTGGCGCTTCGATTGCGGCAGCGGTGCAGTTTGTGGCCTCGCTGCAGAACACAAATATTGCAGCTTTGTTGCAGTTATTAGGATAAATAGTGAAATAGCTACACCGTAACAAACTCACCCGAGACGATAGAGGTGCAGGCAGCGCGGGGTCTCCAGGACAGCCTCGCACGGGCTGCTGTACAGGACCCAACTACAGGCAGGAAACAGGAGACTTCCGTTTTGCCTGATCTAAATATGGGCATCGTCTTTATCGAATATTTATCGAATGTGGAGGTTTTTATTGAATGACTATGATAGGCGTGCAATGTGAAAACGAAAGCGCTGGCATGCTGAATTTAATTTTGTCTTAGGCAAGGCGAGGTAAGTTTATTTATGGAGCACATTTCAACAACAAGGCAATTCAAAAGTGCTTCACACAAGACATCAAAAGCATCCTGACAGAGGAAAGAAACATTAAAATAGAACATTTAAAAAATAATAATAATAAAAATCACTGGAATTATTAAATCTGAACATATGTTCAAATAAAAATAATTAAATTGATTAATTGAAATAAATAAAGTAAAAATATAAAAAGGGTTAAAAGTTACAGTGCAGTTACAGTTAAAATCTTATTAAAATTGTTTAATGGTATATATATGTTCAAATGTAAAACATTTTGTTAAAACAATATCGAAGGTGGAAGTTTGCAGGAAAATTGTTCAGTTTTAATAAAGTATTTTAATGACAGTCGGTGTTCAAATATATTGCACTCGGTTACGTGTGTCTTGATCTGCTTTGAGGATGAGGCTTGAGAATTAAAAAGTGGTTATGTATCCGTGACATTTGTGCTCTAGTTAGCCTAATTAAACAAACATATTTCCCAGATATGTTTATTTAAAAAAACAGCTTTTGCTTATGTTCAAAACGTAGCATAAGTCTATATGAAATTTGTAAACAAGGAAAAAAAAGACCCCATCACAGTATGTAAAAAAAAACTTTGTGAGAATGTGAAGTTTGGGGACTTTTCCTCATCAAAGCTGTCTTCTGAAGCTTAAATCATACAGGACCTAACAAACCACTATGTATTTTTCGGAACTGATGTTTAAAGAGTAATAAACACCAACATAGGACAGGAACAGCAAAGGCTTCATGTTTTTAAAAATCTGAACGCGTCGCTTTAGACAAAAATAGATTGTGCAATCAGTGGAGATTGTATGTAAATGTGTGTATTCCTAATCTCTTAATCGTAGTTAAATATTATGATAGCAGTGATTTATTCTGTGAGTGCTTTGCTTATCAGCACCTCAAACAACGTGTATCGTCATAGGAGCAAATATTTTTTTTGTGCTTGAAGTAGAAATCGTGAGCTTGATTTAACATTTTAAAGTAAAGATTTAGACTGGGGTCAAGAACAATATAGTTTTCTATTTTAATAAAAGACTGTAAATAATACTGGCAATCTCTATACAGTCTGATTGTTTTGTACCATGAGATGCATTCAGGTCTCTGTCGAAAATAATGCAGTTATGTATTGGTAACGAGATAATAAACAAACTGAGAATTTGTTGAATGGCAATATATTAAATGAGACTTAAAATAAACGTATTAATGATCGTAATTTAGACAGTATGAATGGTAACAATCGGCTGTTGTGTCACAGTTAATGAGTTAACTTAATTAAATCACTTTAAACAGTTACATAAAACAACACAGCCTCATTTGGGAGTTTGAATCCCGATAAATTACGTCAAAACAAATGCTCACAAATGCTGTTGCTAGTAATTCACAGCAGTAGTTAGCTTCTATTTGTTAGTAGGCCTTAATGTTTTTTTTATTTATTTATTTATTTCTCTTTAAGAAACATTGCTGTGAATATTCTCACATCGGAAATGTCGATGGCGGAGTTTACGGAAGAGCACCTGAACGCAGCTGTTTCCACTACAGTCACATGACGTAGGCGTTGGGTTTTGCTGATGACGTGACAAGGCGTACAAGAAAAAACCCTGCGCTACTAGCACCTGGTTAGCGAGTTTGTTGACTTTTGGTGTTCTCCTTGTTTCTCCTCGAAGTCAGCGCGGGTTACGAAGGAAAATGGACAACAGCGGGAAAGAAAAGGAGGCCATGGCTTTAATGGCCGAGGCCGAAAAGAAAATGAAATCCTCTCAGTCGTTTTTCGGAGCGATGTTTGGGTGAGTATGTGAGGGAGCTACTGCTGGGCTAAGCTAGCCAATGGACAGCTAGGCGGAAGGTGATAGATGATTTCAGACGTGATGGCAGGAGGAGAAACTATCCCACAACAGACAAACAGCAACACTGATCTGCTTTTATTCTATTATCAAACTGGATATGCTACTTTATATTCCTCCAGATCACTAACATGAGGATTACATTGTGTGGGAAAACAGCTGCATACAGTTGTGTGTTTGTGTGTGTGTGTGTGTGTGTGTGTGTGACTTAGTAATGGATCTGGTAGCTTCTTATGACATATTCAGGTTCATATGTAATCAGGACGAGTCATCTAACATTTCATTTGAGCAATAACACCGCAAGTACATTGTGTGTTATCTGAAATGTTGTTGCTGTAACGCCATCTGCTGGGAAACACTCACAAGGGCAGCTGGTCCATCACCATCATGTGTTTGAGTTGCATCAGATTTGTTATACAGCACTTAAAGTAACACAACAAAAACATGTAGTCCAAGTGATCATGCTGTATCAATGGGTTAGCCATGCGGGCTAATTTTTGATGACATTTAAGAAAGAAAAAAAAAAAAAGCATACAGGAAAATGGAGCACAAAAAACACATAAACACAAGAACACATAAGCGTAACAAATAAAACAACACAAGTGTTAGTTTAAAACATAACACATACGCATGGAAGCAATTGATAAAGCAGCACACAGACGTAAAATAAAAATGTGTAACATATAGCGCATTTAAATACATGAGCATTTAAACACAGACTAAAGCACCATGTACAGACGAGGAGGATATATAAACACAGACAAGGAGAGTATATAAACACAGACAAGGAGCGTATATAAACACAGACGAGGAGCATATATAAACACAGACGAGGAGCGTATATAAACACAGACGAGGAGCGTATATAAACACAGACAAGGATCGTATATAAACACAGACGAGGAGCATATATAAACACAGACAAGGAGCGTATATAAACACAGACGAGGAGCATATATAAACACAGACAAGGAGCGTATATAAACACAGACGAGGAGGATATATAAACACAGACGAGGAGCGTATATAAACACAGACGAGGAGCGTATATAAACACAGACAAGGAGGATATATAAACACAGACAAGGAGGATATATAAACACAGACAAGGAGCGTATATAAACACAGACGAGGAGGATATATAAACACAGACGAGGAGGATATATAAACACAGACAAGGAGCGTATATAAACACAGACGAGGAGCATATATAAACACAGACGAGGAGGATATATAAACACAGACGAGGAGCATATATAAACACAGACGAGGAGCGTATATAAACACAGACGAGGAGGATATATAAACACAGACAAGGAGGATATATAAACACAGACGAGGAGCGTATATAAACACAGACGAGGAGGATATATAAACACAGACGAGGAGCGTATATAAACACAGACAAGGAGCGTATATAAACACAGACGAGGAGCATATATAAACACAGACAAGGAGCGTATATAAACACAGACGAGGAGCATATATAAACACAGACAAGGAGCGTATATAAACACAGACGAGGAGGATATATAAACACAGACGAGGAGCGTATATAAACACAGACGAGGAGCGTATATAAACACAGACAAGGAGGATATATAAACACAGACAAGGAGGATATATAAACACAGACAAGGAGCGTATATAAACACAGACGAGGAGGATATATAAACACAGACGAGGAGGATATATAAACACAGACAAGGAGCGTATATAAACACAGACGAGGAGGATATATAAACACAGACGAGGAGCATATATAAACACAGACAAGGAGCGTATATAAACACAGACAAGGAGGATATATAAACACAGACGAGGAGCGTATATAAACACAGACGAGGAGGATATATAAACACAGACGAGGAGGATATATAAACACAGACAAGGAGCGTATATAAACACAGACGAGGAGGATATATAAACACAGACAAGGAGGATATATAAACACAGACGAGGAGGATATATAAACACAGACAAGGAGCGTATATAAACACAGACAAGGAGGATATATAAACACAGACAAGGAGGATATATAAACACAGACAAGGAGCGTATATAAACACAGACAAGGAGCGTATATAAACACAGACGAGGAGCATATATAAACACAGACAAGGAGCGTATATAAACACAGACGAGGAGCATATATAAACACAGACAAGGAGGATATATAAACACAGACAAGGAGGATATATAAACACAGACAAGGAGCGTATATAAACACAGACAAGGAGGATATATAAACACAGACAAGGAGCATATATAAACACAGACGAGGAGCATATATAAACACAGACAAGGAGGATATATAAACACAGACAAGGAGGATATATAAACACAGACAAGGAGCGTATATAAACACAGACGAGGAGCATATATAAACACAGACGAGGAGCATATATAAACACAGACGAGGAGCGTATATAAACACAGACAAGGAGGATATATAAACACAGACAAGGAGCATATATAAACACAGACAAGGAGCATATATAAACACAGACAAGGAGCGTATATAAACACAGACTACAAGTAAAGACAAAGTCAATTAATCCAGATTATGGCAGCATGTCTGATTGTTTGTGTATGTAAACAACAGCCATGTGTAACAATAGTTGTTATATGGTAAAGCAGACGATTGAAGTGTCTTTACTTTTGAGTTCTTTGTCTTACAACCGGTTGTTTATAATTTTGTTAATTAAGTGAAAATTTTTTTTTTATCAATTAAAAATGTCATAATAATAGATAGATAGATACTTTATTGATCCCGAGGGAAATTCAAAGCATCCAGTAGCAGGTTACAAAGACGTACATGACATGAAACATTTGTTACATTTGCAGATAGTGCAGAGTTATCAAAAACAGAGATTAAATAACAGGCAGTGCAAACATTAAATTAAAGGTGCAATTTAAGTAATTGAGGTTCTCATTAAAGTGTCCAACTAGAGGCTGACTCTTGGGACAGCTGTGCAGATGGGAAATGGAAGATTTAGTCCAAGTGTATGCTTTCCCCCTGCCATAACCGTGAGGTGTTGTACAGACGTATGGCCAGGGGGACAAAAGAGTTCTTAAATTCATTGCAGTGAGGTGGAATGTGTATTTTTCAGAGTCAGTAAAGCACAAGATTAAAGTAAGTTTACTGATGGATGTGGATAATATGAGCAATTCATTTTCATGCTATCGGTAATATAAAATAAGTTTCGCACAATATTGACCAGCGATGCATATTTTATATGTCCTGATTTTGCACAATATTGCATATTAGTTAAGAAAAAAAAAATCCCTATTTTAGCATTGGGTTATTATTGTCTTAACGCTGTTGTGTCCTTCACTGGTAATTTTCCGTATCACTCAGCAATACTCTGCACATGTTTGTGCACTAATCACATGTGCTGTCACACAGGGGTTCCTCGAAGATGGAAGAGGCCTGTGACATGTATGTGAGGGCAGCCAACATGTTCAAAATGGCCAAAAATTGGTGTGGTAAGAGTTTTTCATTACAGGCAGAATAAGCAAGTGTAGTTAATGCCCTCTCCCTTGCCAAGGCCTGCAAAGTCTATTATCCCTCTAACATGAAATATTATCCTTTCAGCTGCAGGAAATGCATTCTCCCAGGCTGCTCTCCTTCACCTCCAGATGCAGAGCAAACATGATGCAGCAACTAACTTCATAGATGCTGGAAATGCCTTCAAAAAAGCAGATCCACAAGGTAATAATTACTCTAAACAGACCATGGAGTATTTAGCTGTTGAAGCTCACGTGTAACACTCTTTTTACAAGCTGCCCTACCTTGCTCATCTGATTTTATTAAGGTCTTTTAGAAAAAGTGCCTTTACAGCACTTTTCATGCTACGTAATATTTCATGATGACGGCAGCACCTGTCTTGAGTGGTTTGTCAGGCTCCACTCACGCGCAGAAATCCTCTAACATCGCTGTTTTCAATCTCTTTTGCCTACTCTTTAAGGTATTTTTCTGGCCTTTGAACAAGCTATTGTATGACAACTTGAAATGGTGCAGTAAAAGCAAAGGAAAACACGAGCAATACCGGCCTTTACACCCCCAACCTGCAGCTTTATAGTACTGTTTTATTTAACTGCAACGCACCAGAGACTCGGGCCACAAAATCACCCATTGTCACCAAATTACTACTGATCCACTGGGCATTTTATCATGAAAAACACAACTAAATCTTTTTGGATTTAGTTATTCACATGGACTCTGAGGGATATCCAAGCTCAGGTCTCCAAGCCAGTACTCAAAACTACAATCAGGCAGAAGAACAGCCCATCTTCAGCCAAAAAACTACTGCTGGTACTGTTACTATCGGGAGATGTGCATCTACTGTAACTCCTGGGCTCCTTTTCCACTCAGCGGTTGACTCAACGGTGCAAACCATCATCCCGAGGCAGTCAGAGCCATTGGCAGTGACTACAACTCTCCAACCAATGATAATATACACAACATCACCGCAACTCACCCTGACTCCGAGGAGCAGACGGCATCTATCCCAGCGGAGCAGACGCTGCCCCTAGAAGTCAACTGATGGGTGGAAGTCCTAGTCCAGCCATCACTGCTGGAAACGCAGCGCCAGGTACCCGGCAATCCACAAGTGCTTTGGGAGAGCCAGATGGGCTCCTGCAGCGGCTGCAGTTGCGTGTTTCGGGCTCAGACAAGAGCACAGAGCTTAAGTTGTCGTCCAGTACAAGTAGCTACTTCAGCGGCAGCACAACATTTTCTTGACTCTGGGGTGAGTCGTGTGTCTTGTATTAATCCGCACGTTATACCAGCTATAGACTGTCATCCTCACGGCGACTCATCTGCCGCAGCAGACAAATGTGGGGGACAATGTGTCAGGGTCAACAAGTCTGGTCTGCATACCAACAACATGGGAGTACAGCAAGTGTCTGTGCTTGATCCACTGTTGTTTACAAAATACATGAATGACCTACCGAAATGCTGTCCGGATGTCAACGGCCAGATGTACGCAGATGACACTGTCATCCATGTTTTTACTGAAACACCCAGCTTGGCAGGTGAGAGCCTGACCCAGGCATCACAGAACATCTCTCAGAAACCCATGAGATTGCATCACTGCGATATGTCAAGAAAACACAAGCTTTTGAGCTTTAATTTCTTTTGAGTTTTAGGAACCTTAAACTGGTTTTTAAATGTCTAAATAATCCTGCGGCACCACTGTTTTCTGAATTAGCCATTGGGTGTCAGGGGCTTATAGGGCGATCACATGAGCCTTGTCCCAATGTACAAGACCTCTTTTGGTCTTTCTGCTTTCTCTGCAAAGGGGGCGAAAACTGTGGAACGCTCTACCTACCAATATAAAGCTAGAGACCAATAGTAATGCCTTTAACAGACGACTCAAACAATGGCTAAAATCAAAAACAACAGTGCTGTCATGAATAGCTTGCAACTGTTTTTCTGATCATGTTGGCTTTGTTTTGTAGCTTATATATGTAGGTAATTTTGAATGTATTGCTTCTCCTTCTGTCATTGTATTATTATTGTACATTTTATTATTCTGGTCTTTCTTAATATCATTATTTCTTTATTTTAATTCTCACTATTATTACTTTTGTTTTTCTCTCAAAAAGCCTCCTGTGGACAAGTGTGTGCTAAATCTGTCTGACTGTCTGTCTGACTGTCTGACTGTCTGTCTGTCTGTCTGTCTGACTGTCTGTCTTTTGCATCTGTGCAGTAGAAAATAGAAATGTGGGATATTGACTGCTTTGTATTGGAGAAAAGTGAAATAAAAAATAATCACACATTCTTGAACACAGGAGAATTTGCGAATCCACTTTTGCCTTTAACTTTGCATGTAACACGGCCGGTTGCTTCTAATTTTGTTGAAAAAACAAAGTCTATGCTTCTTTGTTTTCATCTGATGTCGATTCACTGGATAATTCTAGTCAGACAGAGTATTCATTGTATCTGAAAGTTATTGTTTCTCTCAACAGAGGCTATAAACTGCTTAAACCGAGCTATTGAAATATACACTGATATGGTGAGTCTGAACTGGTTCTTTAAATTTGAAATTACTGAATTTAAAAAATGTGTATCTGAACTTACTTATAAAAGGTTTTTCCTTCTGTTGTCTGTTAGGGTCGCTTCACCATTGCAGCCAAACATCACATCACCATTGCAGAAATATACGAGACAGAGCTGGTTGACATCGACAAGGTCAGATGAAATATAAATTGTTTCTCATATTTATTAAGTTCAGGAAAGACTTCTAATTGAACTGCTACTAGCAGTTTATATGAAGATCATAATCTTGTTTTGTCCAATTTACATTGCAGGCCATTGCTCATTACGAACAGGCAGCAGATTATTACAAAGGTGAAGAATCCACAAGGTGACTATCTGAAATGAGCACATTTTTGTCTTGTTGTCTTTGAGGTCAAAATATTTCAAAAGCTTGTTTTTTCCCTTTTTATTATATTTATAATAATCAGGATTAGAGGGTTAGGGTATGCATTTTTCTATTGTTTTAGAGTGTTGATTTCTGGTGATACATTTAAACTAAGAGGCTTGTTTGTTTCATTTTCAGTTCAGCGAACAAGTGCCTTCTGAAAGTAGCAACCTATGCCGCTCAGCTGGAGCAGTATCCAAAAGCGATTGAGATCTATGAACAGGTGTGTAATTGCTCAGCAACAATCTTCATGTAAATATGCCATCAGTCACTTCAGGTGCTATAAAATAAAAAATAAAAAAAAAAAAAAAAAGGAAGCGTAAAGATTTCAGCACTCATTCAGGTATAACGTTTATTGTTATATATTTTATTGCGGGTGCTTATCTTTTATTTTTACAATGTCTTTGTGGGTTGGCACTGATTGCCTTTAAAAAATCGTTGAGTTGAACATGTCAACTCTTTGTTTGCTTGAATAACGAAACACACCGAATCGTCCTTTTCTTTTAATAGGTTGGAACCCATGCAATGGACAGTACACTCCTGAAATACAGTGCCAAGGATCACTTCTTCAAAGCGGCGCTCTGTCACTTCTGTGTGGACATGCTGAATGCAAAAGTAAGCCCGAACAAACATTGTGTGTCTCTGTACAGCAAGTGTGACACAAGCCTCTGTGTTAATATTCATCCTCTTGTCTCCCAGCTTGCTGTGCAGAAGTACGAAGAAATGTTTCCAGCCTTTTCAGACGCTAGAGAATGCAAGCTGTTGAAGGTAGGCCTCCATATTATTTCCATTCCAAAAATATTAAACATCAACATTAAATATTGCCCGAGACAAAGAGAGACCAGGCTGATAACTGAGAGAGAGGGAGAGCAGTCCAAATCAATAGACTCCTGAGATAAACCTGACAACTGTTAGTGTTACTTCTGTTTCCATCTGAGCTGCTCTCTATTGCTGCGGTCAATAAAACATCTGCTGATGGCAGGTGGTTAAACCACTCGCTTACATCAAAAAACAGAAGTGTGATTGTAATAGCCTCATTCATACAGTCACCTCCCAGTCTTCATCAAGCAGATGAACCAGTAAGCATAGTTAAGGTCTACTCCCTTAAAATTGTGTATTGACTGAAAATAAGGCTGTCAAACGACTCAAAATTATAATTGAGTTTAATCACAAAACTTCAATAGTTAATCGTGATTAATCAATAATTATTTAACCATCTTCAGCTGGGAGTACTTTGATTGCTGTTTGAATTCAACCCTGCTTTTATTTTGAAATAAGTAAAAACCTTCTGGTAGATTGAAGGTTACGACATTAACTTTACCACAGAACAATGAACTTCTTATGTATCAAAAGCTAAATGAAAACAGCTCAAAGGGACGGTAAAAAAAAGGAAATGTTTGATGTCATGAGGTGGACATTACTTTGGACCGGTCCACTGAGCTGTCTTAAGTTTTGTTTTTGTGAAAGTGAAAGATGCAGCAGCGTCATTATTTTCCATCACTGTGACTACAGTGGGACACTGCGGAGGCTCATCCGAGCTGCGCCTATAGGGACAAAATAGCATTCGATTAGTTGTAATTGAAAGAATGAAAACATTAATTTTAGACCTTTAATTAAGTCCCCATTTAAAACCATGCTGGTGTTTCACATTTTTTAAGATTTATTTTTGGGCTTTTGTGCCTTTAATGCAGAGATAGGACAGTGGATAGAGTCGGAAACCAGGGAGAGAGCGCGGAGAATGACATGCGGAAAGAGGCCACGGGTGGAAGCGAATCCGGGCCTCCCGCTCGAGACGACAGCCTCAGTACATGGGGCGCGCTGGTGGCGCAGTGGTTAGGGCGCGCGCCCCATGTATTGAGTTTTTCACATTTTTAAGGTCATTGTTTTGTATTGCTTACAGGAATGCAGAAAGTGTATCGTAGCCTGTTGTTTTTACACACCAGTTGTCCCAGGGTGTCTTTTTTTGTCTTGGTGCAGCTCATCTGATGCACAGTTATTGAAAACATACTTTTTAATCCCACCAGAAACTTCTAGACGCCTGTGAGGAACAGAATG